ATGGTATTTGTCTTTCTCCATCTGACTTATTTCACATAACATAATGATCTCTAGGTACAGAGAAAAAACTGAGGGTTGCTTGATGGGAAGGGGGTGGGGATGAGGGAGAAGGTGAGGGGATTAGACAGCACAAATTGGTAACCACAACATAGCCACAGGGATACGAAAGACAGTTTGGGAAATATAGTCAATAATGTTGTAAAGATTTTGTAGGGTATCCAATGGACACTTGTCTTATTAGCGAGACCACTTCATGGACGGTGTAGATGCCTGACCGCTGCAGTGCACACCTAAAGCTGATGTGGAGTACAACATAGGAAATAGAGTCGATGGAATTGTAACAGCTATATACAATGTCAGAAGGGTAGTAGATTGGGGAAGGGGGTTATCACTTTGTGAGAGGTGTAAGTGTCTAACTATTACACTGTTTTGTATACCTGAAATGAATTTTAAAACAATTGAGTATTAAAAAAAAAAAAGAAATACAGGTTGCAATTATGACAAAACCACTAAAGTGTATCCATCATCTAGTACATTTGAATGTTGTCATTTGCTAGACATGAATGTGCTTTATATTAATTAAGTCATTTAATTCCTATTTTATAGCAGTGGAACTCAAGAGCAAGTGAACTTTTAAGCACACAAACCTAATAAAAGCAAATGCCAGAATTCTGTCAAAAAATAAAGGATCAAGTCTGTGGAATCAGTAGAGTCTTCCCGGTAGACTAATAAAAGAATGATAGCACAACAAATTTAATAAATTAAGAAAAATGGTCAAAGCTTTGTAAAGCTTTATAAATCCATTCCATTCTTATGTATGAAAAGTCAGGAGCCAGGAGCTAACGTCAAACTGATTTGCTATGTAATTGCCAAGAACACTTTTTGTAACTTGTTAGAAAGCAACTTCCATTTCATGAAGGTGATGTTAAAAGATCCTCACAATTTTCTTGGCAATAGAGTAGTGATTCTCAATCCTGGGTGACTGTGATCCCCAGGGGACACATGACAATGCCTGGAGAACATTTTTGAGTGTCACAACTTAAGGGGAGGGTGCTACCGACATTTAGTAAGTTGAGAGCAGGGATGTTGCTGAACATCCTACAACACACGACAGCTCCCACAAGAGAGGATTACATGAGCCACGATGTCAATAGTGCCGAGGTTAAGAAACCTTACAGGAGACTATTTTCATCAAAATTCTACAAGAGCAATATGAATGTCTGAATTGTAAAGTTTTTTAACTTGAATTTTTACACTATAGTTATCCTGACCAGAATGCAGCCAGTGCCGTTGGCAATGACCCAGGGAGAACCACTTTAGGAGCATGCTGTTGTTATGTACTGGCATGTTGCTATGTGCTTCAAAATAATTTGTTCCATTAAGTAGGTTAAAAGTTGCCCCTATGATCATGTTGAAGACTTACGTTCACTTATCAACTCTTTGCATTCACCAATTAAGCATCTGCCATATAGTCATAGGCCTCAGGGATACAGAGAATAACAATAACGATAATTACAACAAGAAGACAAAAAAATCACAAACAAAAGCTAGTTGCTGGCCTCAAGAAGTCTATAGTCCAGAGTGGAGAAAACTTAGAATCCTGTGAGGTAAGTACCAGGAAAGATACAGGCATAAGCGTGGGACCCAATTAATACGAGCGAGTGAGGGACAAAGGGCGAACATTTCCTCAAAGAGATGGTACCTAAATTGAGTCTTGTAGAAGTAGGAGGTGGCAAGTTAGATAAGGACTAGAGTTTGGGTAAATAGAGCTGCTGGGATAAAGATGCTATCTATATTTCTCAATAATCTCATGGTAATACTAATAATGATAAAAATAATAAGTAATATTTGTGGAGTAAAACCTAGGGGCCAGACACTGTTTTAAGAGATTTACCTATATTTACTCACACACATAATCTTCACAGAGGCCTGATCAGGCAAGCACTACAATTATTCTCATTCAAATATTCTCAAGCTGAGGCTCAGGGTGGTTCCAATGACTAGCCCAAGGTCACATGGCTAGTGAGTAGCAGTTGGGATTCAAAATTTACTTAATCGGGCTCTGGTGCCTAAACTCTTAACCATTACATTACACTAATTGAAGAGTCTTCAACAAGGACTATTAACTAAGAGGCTTACTCAGAGTTACCCTAAGGGTCATAGTAGACTTACTGAGTGGAAGTCGTGTGCCTGGTAAACCAAGCCGTAGGATTACTAGGACATGCCTGGTCAATCCCCATACACAGATTTATCTATAGCCTAATCCCTCTTAATCTTCACCTTGGTATATACGCTGCCCTTTCCAGTGTTTTTGGAGCTAAATGATGTTCTCTTGGTCTTCCCTCTCCCTTCCTGCAATCTGGAAGAGCAGGTTCTCTATTCTCACTGAAAAGAATTTTCAACACAGTTGCATTCAAAACTGGGCCGAGAGCCCTCCAACAATGCCCCGGAGGCCTCTCCTCACCAGCAGTGGATGGAACCATAGAAGAACACCCTTTGAACACAGTCCTTGCCCCAGTATACAACCAGGCCACATTTTCATGCACACTCTACCAAGGTATCATGAGAAACTATCAAATGCCAGTAGAGGATACAGATACACAGTTTCCAGCACTGTTCCAACCCACCCATCTACTGATATCAACAAAAGACGAGAGTTTCCTGTAGACTGAGATATGTTCCAGAATCAACTAAGCTCCCTGACCCTGAAGATATTTTGTTTCTTCTAGCTTTAAGAGATTATAATTCTAAACCTTATGACTCACAGGGAAGTAGTCATAGTAATTAAGAGCACAAGTCTGGATCTGTGACTTTGAGCAAGTCATTTAACCTCTTAAACCTCAGGTGTAATAGTAATAATAATAATAATAGTAATAATAATTCACCGCATTGGGTTGTATGAGGGAATACAGGTAAATACGAGAATATCTGGCACACAGAACACTCAAAAAAATGTTAGTTTTTATTATTGTTAGATTATAAAGAAAGAAAAGGGCAAAATACAGACTGTGTTTGCAGACACATAGAAAACAGTTGAAGGTCATACATTAAATTTTTACTGAGGTACAAAGAAAATCCCACATTTTATACACAGTTTTCAAAACAATTTACTACTGACCTATATCTTTTGTAAATTTTAAAAAATAAGAATAAAAAATAAACACAGCTATTTTTCATTTTGTCTTCAAAAATTTCACTGCCAACCAACATCTTCCATTTGAAAAGGGGAACTAGAGGAGCCAACACCCTAAAACTGCCCAAGTCGGTGGGCTAAGAAACCACAATGAGGGAGCTAAATTTAGTCAAGGAGCTGGCCCCTGGCCTTCCCAGTGAAAACTGGATTCCACCAAGCCAGCAAGGTTGCCTGAGTTGTGTCTGGTCTGGGCAGTACACCTCTGAAAAGCAATGGTTTTTTCAGTTCATTTGCTTGGTCTGTGTCAAACCTTGTCCCATATCTAAGTTTTTGGGGTTACTTCAAAAAAGGAAAAAAACATAACTAGATTACCAGATAAGATGCCTTGCTCACTTCTTTACAAAAAAGAGATAAAAGAAAGCAAAACAACAGATGCAATCCTATTTACTATTTATTTTGTTTTTTTAGTGTTCCAGGAAATAAGCCTCAAGCAGAAAGCTAGGGGAAGGCTGGAAGGCAGCAGCTGCCTCAGGCCTGTCCTACCCCAACTAATTTTAACTCGGCTGCCACTCTAATTCAGCTTTGTCTCAGAGTCCTTGCCCTCCACCCATCAAGCCATTCTCAGAGTTTGCAGTTCTTTAAGCAATACATAACGAGAACCTGGGTAATTAATTGTCTACCTAACCCTACAAATGAGCCTCCACTTCTGCATGGGGGTGGCACCTGAACCACGCCCAGAAATTGTGAACTAACTCTCCTCTGTGCTGTGTATTTGGTAGCTTCTCAACTACTGCCATCTGCCCTTGGGCCACGATTCGTTTCTGATTGATCTCACTGTGAATCACAGAGAAGTGACTCAATAAATAAGCCAAAGAACAGCAAACCAACTTACGAAACCACCCTATTCGCCCCTTCCTACACCCTCCAAGTTTGGATTTTTCCTTTCTCCCAGGTCAGCTTGCTCTTTCCCTCTGTTTACTCTGAAATTGAAATGTCAGACACGTCTTTAATGACAAAGTCTGAAGGTAGCTTTTTCTTCAAAGATGCATAGGATAAAGAAGATCTAAGGTATCACCACAGTATCCTGTCAAAGTAAGACAAACACTTCTTAAAGGGTCAGCTACAAGAAAAGGTGGTTTCTTGCAGAGCAGATGTGAGTGCCTGTGTGAAATTGCATGTAACCTAGGACATTTTTAACTTTAATATCAGGTACTAAAAAGGCTAGGAAGTGAAGATAGGAAAAAATGACCGTGACTGGCAACTCTTGGAAGAAAAGGCAAAGGGCCTTCACCCCACACGGGGAGAAACGCAGAGGGAACACCCACCCTCTTGCTCCCAAAGCTCAGCTTTCCTGCACGGTGTGCCAGGCAAGAGGCCGAGAAGCAGACCCAGCGCGTCGCCTCTTGAAACGCCCTTCCCTCACTACCACCCCGAGAAGGCAGAGCCCGAATCCACACCCTGCTGCCCCGAGCCTCCCAGGTTGGCGTCCGCCCCAGCCAGCCCCAGGATAAGGTTACACCACTTTCCTCTCCTTATTTTTAAAAGACTGGGGCGCTACAAATACTTCCCCTAGCAAGAGCCTAATCGGAACACAGGGGGGGAAAGGTAATTTTTCTTGCCTGAGGTTCGCAACATTGCCTTACTCCTAGGGACCCCTTCACGTGTCTGCCCCAGGCGCGGATCGGAAAATGCCCCCCCCCCCCAAATAGCTGCGGCCTTGCCCGGCGAACAAGTTTCCACTGGCCGGGCCGCTTGCAGCTGCAGGCAGGCGCTGGGCGTGGAGAGCGCTTCTGCAGGCAGGGACCTTGCACCCCGATCTCCCTCCGTGCTGCCCCGGATCAGTGCCCGGGAGGGGTACCCCACTTACCCCACAACAGAAATCATCATGGCAGCCACCACCAGGTAGTTGGTCTGATAATAGAGCAGGTTGCTCACTACGCGGTTGTTCCATTTAGAAATGTCCCTGAAGTCCGGCCGGGCGAAGCGGTCAGAGCCCGGGAAGAAATCGTCCCAGGCTCGGAGCGGGGCGATATTCACGTCCATTTCTGGTCTCTCAGCTTCTTGTTCTTCGCCTCTGGAATCTGGCGACGGCGGCGGCGGCAACCGATCAGCTGAGCTAGGTTAGAGGTGACAGCAACTGTAGCTCGGTAGGCTCTGCGGTTGGCGAGCAGCGGAGCAAAGAAAATTGAAAGCGGGAGGGCGTTTTTTTTTCTTTACTTCTTGATTGGCTCTAAGTGATTGGTTACAGGAAAACTGGGGCCCCGCGACAGAGCCAGAGGCAGAATGCAAAATAAAGATGAAATGACAGAATGAAACCAACGGAAATCCCCTGCCTGATGCGAGATGGCAATCTCTGGCAGGCCAAATCCAAGCAGCCGCCCTTAAAATACCGCCTTTGAGTGTTTAACCTAGTGATGCGTTCTGGACCTTGTGGAAAATTTTTGCAGCTGTTCAGATGCCAATCTAAGTGAAATGGAATGGAAGGCAACTATAGTGTTGCCTGGAGGATGAGCTTGTTTTGAAAACTAAGTCGTTACTGACCTCTACACATCTGAGTGTAATTCTCGGGTTTTCTCTGTCTCACCATGAGTCACTAACCTCTACACATCTGAGTGTAATTCTCGGGTTTTCTCTGTCTCACCATGCGTCACTAACCTCTACACATCTGAGTGTCATTCTCGGGTTTTCTCTGTCTCCCCATGTGTCACTATGAGTGAAATCAGACTGGCAAAATCAGAAAGAAGAATGTGTAGAATGGAAGGGTTTACTTCTCTTCTTTGTTCTCCTCTATTCTCTGGGCCTAGGGGCAAAATTATTGAACTACTGTGCCATTCTGATAAAGTGGTCACTCTGGTCACTTCAGACCTATTCTGGGCTTTACATTTCAAAGCAAACAATAGTCTGCAGTGAACTACTTGTTCTGCCCCCAGTATTTTCTGGGCAGAAACCTGGATTCCATTCCAAAAGAGCTTTCTTAGTTTTATCCTAATATTTAGGGACAGCTTTCACTAAGGGAGCACAGTACTTTAAAAGATAATATGTTGATAGCTTTGTATCCCAGCCCAAGAAATTTAATTGTAAATTCCCTTTTAAGGCTTCCTAAGGGACTTATTTTTTCAATGAAGGGGCTGGTTGATAGAGAAACCTCCTTTTATCTCAAATGCATGAGAACAAATATTTTAGTTAATTGCATAGTATGTTTGGCAAATCCTAAGATGCTGGTGTCTAAGATAACAGCCTCTAACCTGCAAGTGGTGCTGTTTTTAAGAAACTAAATTCACTCTGCTCAGAGCACCAATTTTCAAAAAAAAGAAAACAAAAAAGTAATAAAATATACCTAAATGCGAAGTCTAGAAGACATGATTTGATTTTCTCTGATGATTTAGAAAGCAGTTAATGAACTTACAATGACTAAGAAAATACTCCTGTCACTGGTGTGACTAAAGATTAAAATGTGAAAATATTCCTGAGCTCTCACGTATTCTTGATTTTGGGAAAAGGGAAGATTTAATGTCAGTGACAGCAAAAGTAGACTCCTAGCTCCTCTATCTCTTGATGGTGACTTTGAAGAAATTACGTAGTTAATCTACTTCAGCCTCAGTTTCTTCATGTGTAAAGTGGATATACAATAATAAGATCATCAGCCATATAGTTGAAGATAAATAAAAGAGTAGATGGAAAATGCTTAGTGCATAGTAATTACTCACAGTTAGATATTGCTGTTAATGTCATTAATAATAGTACAGCCCATGATTCATCTGATAGCATAGTATTAATAGTGTTTTAACCTGATTTGTTTTCTATGCTTTCATAATGAACATCCATTGACTTTTCTCTATCTTGTTGCATTTTTATTGTTGTGGGTGTATCTGAGTACACTTGATAGGGGAAAAGGGGTTGAAAATTTTCAATATGATGGCAAGAGATATTTTGAGTCCTTTCGAGGCTTTATGAAAGCATTGTGAAAGGTAAAAAAAAGTTGAGAATAATTCAGCCTTGCCCTGCCTTCAAGGATCTTGCAGTGAAATGGAAACACTAACTTAAATACAAAACAGTGAGAGGAATGCTGTCTAGAGAGGTGCCAGGCCTTGGTGCTCAGTTACAGGAAGTCAGAGGGTGAGGAAGAATTCCCTGAGTTTTACGCATTTCATGAAGCCGCACTATGGGCAAGCTGAGTCAAGATCTTGGTCAAGACCAGTGTAGGAGCCCCAGCAGGGCCCCATACTTGTTGGTGAGATCAGTGAGCATTCGGAGCTGTGATCATGAACTTTTACTTTCCAATTGCTCAGTGCTGCATGACCATAAGCTGTCAAGTGTGTGTTACTAATAATATGACTACTCATTGATCAGAGGCAACTGACATCCAATAAACATTTGTTCAGTGTATTTTTATTTTTTGTTTAAACTTCCACAGAGGTTTAAAAATAAAGAAAGGAATGGGGAAAAAAAACAACCAGATATAATAATATAGAGCATGATCCCCTTTTCCCTAACTCTCAAAATATTAATCATGCTTCTCTCTCTGGTTGGATTATGGGACTTTTTTTTTCACTGCACATTTCTACCTTTGTCATGTGGGGGAGGAGAAATTCCTCCTCGTCTCATTCTCTTAATGCTTCTGACTGGTCTAATAATCAAATTGACCTGAGACAGATTAACAGGAGAAAACAACCAAATTTAATTACATATGTACATACAGGGGTTTCATAAGAATATGGGGCTTGCAATGGAGGCATATATGCCATCTTGAGTTAGGGAGAAAGGGGGTTAGTGGTTTGGGACTTCAAAGGGGAAGAAGGCAATTCACATGGAGATGGAAAAGCAAATGTTTGGTAAACAAATGTTTTCTGGGCCATCTTTAACAAAGGTACACAGACAAGACTGATCAAATGGGTCTTGCTAGTTTCTTCCCTGTCTATCGCACTAGTTCCTATTAAACTATAGTTATCTGTGATGTTAGCTCCCTTCCTGGAGCAAGTCCTCCATCTTTTAGGCAGTTAGGAAGAAGGTCAAAGGGGTTTCCTATCTTTCATTTCTTAAAAACAACTAGTTTAAAATAATCAATATCCCCAAGAGGCATATTTTGGGATGGCAAACTCTGCTTCCCTTCAGTCATAAAATCACTTTAAATAAAAATGAACACATATGGGATCCTTACTTTATTTCAAGCACTGTTTGAAATGCTATTAATAGTAGCTCTTTGTCACTATTCATTTAGGGGGGTCAGATTCACTGTAGAGGCTTTCCTGGTGGTCTTATACTTAGACTTGGGCTTCTAGTTAGGACCACTCTGACTATTTATCTGTCTATATGTAAACCACAGTAGATAGACTAATAGTTTATATTGTATTCTGTTTGAAATGAAATAAATCTGATGCAGCTTTCTCTTGCATGTCTCTGATACTTTCATTACTGGCAAGTGCAGGTGGCTATTTCTAATCAGTCAGTCTGAGGCAGATGGAGTTCCTGGTATAATCTATCAAAATACCACCACAGTGAGTCAGAGTATAAATTCTAAGGCACAAAGATGCAGGACCAGATGCCTTTGCAGACCTCTTCACGGGCAAGCAGCTTCCTATCCATGGGTGCCAGCTTTCTCCCCTGTGAAATGGCCGATGGGGGTTAGACAAGGTGATCTCTAAGGTGCCTGTGGGCTTTGCTTTTACCATCTGAGGGAGCTGTGATACTCCCTGCCACTAACCAAAAGGTCTCCTGAAAGTAGCATTGCTGGGGGCAAAAGTTGAACCTCAATGGTTTCCATCTGCAGAGGAGTCTGGGCAAGAAAAGGTTTCTGGGTTGATGTTGAGACATGTGACCTGGATAGAGGCTGGTGTCTCCTGCTATGGGCTGTGGACTCTATGCCCCCATTCCCTGGCACTGGCTTTTGGCTCAACAAATTCTATTGAACCTAACCTGATTGGAGGCTGATAAAGGACAAAGAGGAGATTAAATATCATAATTTATTAACGGCAGCTACATTTACTGAGTATCCATCAGGATTTATATAGTACTGCATTTCATTAGCTCTCAAACTTTATTTTGCACAAAAATAGGGCTTTGCAGAAGGTTGGGGACAGGCCTGAAAATCTGCATTTGTAAGAAGTTCCCAAATGATGCTGATGTAACTGATCAGGGACTACAGTATTTTACGAACCATTGTGGATTTCATTTAATCCTCAAAGAATCTTACAAGGCGAATATTATCAATTTACAAATGAAGACACAGAAGTTTCAAGGTCTCATAGGTAATAAGTGGAGTTAAAAATTTAAGTTCTTTCTGACTCAATTTCATTCTTGTCCCACTCCAAAGAAGGATATACATATGTATGTATATCTACATCTAATATGATTATTTTTCTGTATCTGGTCATACACAAATACACACACACACACACACACACACACACACACACACACCTATCAATTTCTGATTCTAGAGGAAAATACCTAGTCCAAAATTTTATCACCATTTATCTTTAGGCTCTGAGATCATGGATGGTCTAAATTATTCTTAAATTTTTGTGCTTTTTTTTTCTTTATATTTTTCTTCTATGTACCTAAATATTAAATTTTTTTCATAAAAAAAGTTACTTCAATTTAGCTTCTTTTCCACTGAGTTTATCTGACAGAATGTAACACTATAATATTAATATTCATATTAACAAAGAAAGAAAATATCTTTATCCCACACCTATAAACTGATATAGAAAAATTCTACTTTTTTTTTTTTTTTAGCTGCGACATCCTGCCACCTGTTGGCAGCTCAGCTCAGGCTGGATATCGAACCAGGCACCCAATTGCTCAAGCTCTTAACCAACTGAGCCACTCGGCAGGTGGAAAGCTTTACTATTAAAGTGAGTACCTTTATGCAAAGATGTTGGAACCATCCTCAGAAGTAGAAAGTGAAAATTCCCCTGATGCTTCGCCTCAGATGAAAGCTCTGGCATATTTGGGTGGCTCTTCCAGGGTTTTTTTTTTCATAGAATATGCCATTTTATATAATTAATGACACATAAATTATATAAACATTTAATGTATTACATAGAGATTTTTCACGCAGCCTAACTATATACTGGATAAGATTTCGCTAATTTAGTATAATAAATTAAGATTATAATTACAGCTAAAGCCTTTCAAATACGCGGGAGCG